CTTCGCCTCCATTAACATTAATTCCCACAGTCGGCAAGAATTTGTCTACCAGCCAGAAGGCACATTGCTTGCCCGGAAGCCACTGAAAAGAAAAGATAGCTGATCCCAGATTCAAACGCGATATTGATCAAATTTAGGTATAAGTGCCGCTACTGCGAGAAGACGTTCGCTCAATACGGCACAAAAACGGTACATGAAAAGAGTGCCCATCTAGGTGAGCTTCTTCTTTCTCAAATTTTCGCCTTTCACCGGAAAAAAACAACCGAGTTACGGTTCATAGAAATCAGGATTTTCCAGGAATCCGGAACTACAAGTGCCCCAAGTGTGATAAGTGTCTTTCTTCACCGAGCGCTCTTTACACACACAAGAAGACCCATGGAGAGAAGACTTTTCAGGTGATTACGCCTTTTTCAGCCTTCTTTTCTTACCAGTTCCTGTTGAATGTATCCGGCTGGCCTTCCTTGACGGCAACCCCTTTCCAGTGCGAATTCTGCCCGAAGACGTTCACTTTGAAAAACTACCTGAAGCTTCACGTGAAACAGGTTCACGAGCAGAATGAGAGGAAGCACGTGTGCCGATTTTGTGGGAAGAGTTTTGCCTATGCTGGTAGTTTGCAGGTGGGTACAATGGTGTGGCGCTAATTATTGGAAGCTAAACTTACACAACTTGCAGGTGCACGTTAGGACTCACACTGGTGAACGACCGTACCGCTGCAGTTACTGCCCGAAGGCGTTTGCCAGTCAGGGCAACCTACAGTCCCACGAGAGGACACATACGGGCGAAAGGCCGTATTCGTGTGGCACCTGCGGGAGAAGCTTTATTCAGGTGAGGAAGTTCATGAGTTTATCGTGAAAGACGCATTCGTTTGAAACTGGTGCCAAACATAGCGAAAAGGATACTGTAGGCATCAGGAGGGGCACCACAAAATCGTTATTATTTGAGATCCACCTGAAGTCAAGCTACCCGCAGCCACACTATTGTTTGTTGAGGATGGTGGGGCGTGTGGGATTGGTTTGGCACGCTGCCAAATCGGCTCTCCTCAGCTCTTGAAGCGGGTAACGTCAGCAATGGGTGCAAAATTGCTTGCTCACCTTAGCGTTGAAAATTGAGTATGGCGCTACGCCAAAACCTGCGACACGCCCTTTCATACGCAGCGAATGAGACTGTACCTCAGACATTATTGTTATAACCTCCGGTGATCAATCTGCGACATTAAAGGCAGCGCCCGCGTTCATTTGATGTTCCTACGCCCTCCCTGGATATCGTAGCTTTGTCGACAAGGGTGGAGGATGTACTAATTTCGCAGCTCAAAAATACGAGAGGATGGCGCCACCCGCTTGTGATAACTGCTTTGGCTTAGCCTTCAAAGGCTGAGCCCGCTTTCAAGAATAATGAGTTATGGAGCTCATATAATACGTGATCCAGTAGTGAAGAAAAAAGCAGAAAAAATCATGGAAAATGCCCTATATAGAACCCTATGCTGGCCAGGTGGGCGGGGCTCTTCACTAGCGAACGGCGCTATCCTCTCGCCTTTTTGAGATGCAAAACTAGTACATACTGCATCCTCATAGGGAGGGCTATGATATCCAGAGAGGGCGCGGGAACATCAAATGAACGTGGGCGCTGCCTTTAAACGTACGCCTGGGCCTCGAGACACAAGGTTGCTCATGAGGTCGGTTGCTATCCCGTCTTTGTCTCGCTGTTTGCATACTGTCGCTGCTTTTATCTCGACTCTCTCTAGAAATCCCCATCTATTCGTTACTCCTCG